ACGCCTTCTGAACGTGCTTCAACCTAATTTTAAGGTACCTACTTAGTGCAGCTTATTTAAAAAAGATGACCCACAAAAAATATGAAGCTTCTGTAGCTGTAGCTAAAACTAAATTTTGTCAAAGATTAACAATATTTGTCTCAGATTGGACATTTGGACTGAAACAATGAACGAGCGAGGTTTCTTAGGTGTGACATGTCATTTTCTTCAAAATAATAAAATGCATATGCTCTATCTAGCTATTCGTACGCTCAATGAAATATTTGCCCTGTTTGGCTCACACAATAAATCACATCGTTGAAGAGGCTTTAAAATGACCAAATGTAAAAACAGCTAAATCTAAGGTTCGTGAAATTGTGCGTTGAATAAAAAAGATACGTATTAATGGTTCTGAATAGTCAGTTTTAAAACTTATTGCCGATATCAAAACAATATGGAACTGAATAATATCTTTGAAAAGTGACCCATTGGGAGACATGCCAGGCAGAAAAACCAAAAAATTAAATTTTCGAATTATTTTACCATTACTTATGCTTTTAAACGTCTGAAGATTCCAGACCGCTATCGCTCAAAACCGGCTAAAATTGATCAAAATTTTCCAAGTGTGACCACTGATTTCCTGAATTTTTTTAAAATTTTCACAGACATTCTGCCGTTCTTGGGTCTCACAAAAGACACTTTAGATCGGAAAATTTGCGTTGGCAAAACTTGCAAAAATCTTTTAAATACATCATTTTTGAGTTGAGTATGTGACCGCGGGAGAAATTTGTTGGAGTTTGTCGCTAAAAAACCGCTCAGGCTAACATGAAGAATCCCGAAATTAAACAAGAAATGGAAGAAAAACATACCTTCGGACAGTGTCCAGCTGTGAAAATACCCTGACGATTTTTGCTCAAGCTTTACACTTTTTTAATTCATAAGCATCCAGCCGATGGGAGCTTCCGTTCATTTTTGCTGGCAATTTTTCCGTTTTTTTTTTGCTGTAGTGTTGAAGTTTTCCTCAACTTTTATATGTAACTAATTAATGTAATAATGCGCTAAACGCAGCAACTAACGTCTATCAGGCAATAAAACTGCGATCTTACCTTCGGTAGGTCGAAGTTGAAGCAATGTGGGATCGTCCGATTGGGAACTTTCGCTCTTGGAGGCGGAATTGAGGGAAGTTCTCCCTTTACAGTCGCTTCTGCTTCTGGTGCTGTTACATGATGAACTGCTCATTTCTGGTAGAATAAATCACATTATTTGCTTGCCGAATGGAAAAATTTCGGTGTTTTCATTTTTGAAACTTTTTTTTCTGAATTTGACATTGCTATTTTGGACATTTTCTGTTAGACACCAGAGTGGCAAATGCCAAGAATCGGCTTTAGGAAGCATAAAAATGGGCATATCTTTAAGCAAAATCCAGTAATTTTAATGCTCAGAAACACTGATGATAAGTGACGGAAAATACGGAAAAAGGCACAAAAAGACACTATTGATCAGTTAAAGAATGACAAATTTTTGAAAGAAGGTAGTTTTTCCATCTTAAATTACAATATATTTAAGTATTTTATTGTACATACTTTCCTGACTGTGTTTCAATTCCAAATCAAAATTAATTCCTGGGTTTCAGTCATTTATTGTCTCTATTTATCAATTAGGAGACAATTAGAGACAATAAATGACTGAAACCCAGGAATTAATTTTGATTTGGAATATATTTAAGAGCCGCTTTACATCAACATCCAGATATAAAACAAACCATTTGAGCTCGTAGTTTGAATTATTGGTGTTTTCGAAACTACTGCTGACATCTACCAAATTGGGTTTGGTGTTAATAAACACGTACAGATTTCGAATCATTAGCTATTCAAGCTGCTGAAGCTTAACATAGATAGCAGATAGCTGGCAGGTTCACATATTTGGAAGATTTGGCTCTTAGCGTGTTAATTGCATTAGTGAAAAGAACAAGAGCGGGTTAAGCTGAAGAAAAATTTGCCACCTTTTTAGAAAGGAAATTAGCGTTTGCACCATTTTGAGGGCAGAACTAAAGGCTAATGGATCTGCGGAGACAATCGTTAGAGTGAAATACTTCCAGTTTCCACTGGGGATTTTGCAAAAGTTTCTAGTTCTCTCAGACAATACCAACAAGTGAAAATAGTCCATTTTTTCAAAACCGCGCTTAAATTTTTATTTATACTTTCAACTCACTGTATAGAGCATTAAATTGCGCCAGTTTTAATATAAAATATCACTTACAAAAGTTTCTAGTTCTTTCAGAAAATACCAACAGGTAAAAATAGTCGAWTTTTTCAAAACCGCGCTTAGATTTTTGCTCATATTTATAGAATCGTTAGAGTATAATACTTCCAGTTTCCTCTACTGGAGAGAGCATTGAAGTGGGCCCATTCTGATATAAAACATTAATTTACAAAAGTTTCTAGTTTTCTCGGCAAATGCCAATAGGTGAAAATAGTCGATTTTTTCAAAACCACGCTTAGATTTTTGCTCATACTTATAGAATCGTTAGAGTATGATACTTCCAGTTTCCTCTACTGGAGAGAGCATTGAAGTGGGCCCATTCTGATGTAAAATATTATTTTACAAAAGTTTCTCGGCAAATGCCAATAGGTAAAAATAGTCGATTTTTCCAAAACCGCGCTTAGATTTTTGCTCATACTTATGGAATGGTTAGAGTATAATACTTCCAGTTTCTTCTACTGGAGAGAGCATTGAAGTGAGCCCATTCTGATTTCAAACATTATTTTACAAAAGTTTCTAGTTTTCTCAGCAAATATCAACAGGTAAAAATAGTCGATTTTTTGAAAACCGCTCTTAGATTTTTGCTCATACTTCTAGAACCGTTAGAGTATAATAATTCCAGTTTCCTCTACTGGAGAGAGCATTGAAGTGCGCCCATTCAGATATAAAACATAATTTTACTAAAGTTTCTAGTTTTCTCGGCAAATACCAACAGGTGAAAATAGTCAATTTTTCCAAAACCGCGCTTAGATTTTTGCTCATACTTATAGAATCGTTAGAGTATGATACTTCCAGTTTCCTCTACTGGAGAGAGCATTGAAGTGGGCCCATTCTGATGTAAAATATTATTTTACAAAAGTTTCTCGGCAAGTGCCAATAGGTAAAAATAGTCGATTTTTCCAAAACCGCGCTTAGATTTTTGCTCATACTTATGGAATCGTTAGAGTAAAATACTTCCAGTTTCCTCTACTGCATAGAGCATTGAAGTGGGCCCATTCTGATATAAAACATTATTTTACAAAAGTTTCTAGTTTTCTCGGCAAATACCAACACGTAAAAATAGTCGATTTTTCCAAAACCGCGCTTACATTTTTGCTCATACTTATAGAATCGTTAGAGTAAAATACTTCCAGTTTCTTCTACTGGATAGAGCATTGAAGTGGGCCCATTCTGATATAAAACATTATTTTACAAAACTTTCTAGTTTTCTCGGCAAATACCAACAGGTAAAACTGGTCGATTTTTCCAAAACCGCGCTTAGATTTTTGCTCATACTTATAGAATCGTTAGAGTAAAATACTTCCAGTTTCCTCTACTGGACAGAGCATTTTGATGAAAAACATCATTTTGCAAAAGTTTCTAGTTGTCAGCAAATTCCAAAGTGCATTCAAAAACACGGTTAAATTTTTTCTCATACTTTCAAAGTCGTTAGAGCAACTTGCGTCTCGTTTCCTGCACTGGATAGAGAACTTGAAGTGCGCCCATTTTGATATCAAACATAATTTAGAAAAGTTTCTAATTATGTCAGCAAATAAATATCAGTAAAGACTATTCAAGACTAGCTTGCAAAAAGTCCCAACTGTTCGCTGCACAACTGTAGAAAGTTGTTCTTCTCTGTTGAATTCAGTTTTCTTCCTTACTGTATCAAAGGCACATGTTAAGTCCACTAAATTGGTTTGTCCATTAGTTCAATATGAACATTTTGAGGCGCCCTGTTGGGGTCCAACAGGTCCAAACTGTACCCAGCACCTTATAGAACCACCAGAATATCTACATGTATTTTACAAGTTACTGAAGTTACCCCAAATTAAGCCGATGACACCGTCCTCTAATAGCATTTCACAAATTAGTAAAAAGTCGTTGAGTCGAGCACATAAACAAAGCATTTTGATAAAAACCAGTCAACAATAGTCAGCTAATTAGCCTTGGCGGTTAATTGATCACCATTGGTGCTCACTGTGAGGTGTGGTTTGAGAAATCACCAATGAGAACCGCATTTACGCCAAACGGTAATCGAACGTGGCATTTCCCCAGATTGTTTTCCAGTATCGCAACTTGTAAATTATTCATTAAAAAAAAACAACAAACACATATCTAGGACTTGGACTTTGGACTTGTTTGCGAGATAAAACGGACAGCGGTTTATGTTGATTTTAGAACGAGCGAATTTATGGGGAATTAATTACACTTGTAGTTAAGTTTTAAGGGTGTGGAAGTTGCACAAACAATAAGACACGGAAGCGTGTCGAATTGTACAGGAGGATTAGCAACAAATGGCACAAGTGAAGGGGTCGGATAAATGAGCAAAAATAAACATTTAGTTTCTCTTTCCACCGGCAAGTGTGATCGAATCCCAGTTTGAAAATAACTAAATTTCAGTGGCGGGTCTAACGAATTTTCGCTGTTGATCGAGGAAAATTTCAGATTTTGTGTTCCGATTTTTAGTTAGTCTTCTTGATAACCAGTCATTTTTTACTTTAGTGTAATTTTTCTGCAACTCCTGCTCTTTTGCGGTTGCTGATGTTTAGGTAAAAAAATTGTGCAGGGCATTTACTTTTTTTTGAGGAAAGAAGAGGACTCTATTCTCATCCACCCCACAACTTTTGTCCGATGCCACTTTTTGATATCTGGACTGGACGAGTTGGTCTTATCCCATGGCCCCCTGATGGCCCCGACTTAACGCCTCTTGATTTTTTTCTCTGATTTAAAGAAGTGACAAATGTTGATGATTTGCGCCTTCGGACATTTTCAATCACCGATTTTAATCTTATTGTTTTTATGTACTTTTTTCACCTATAGAAGCAACAATTATTGTTA